CCTAAACCTTAAACCCTAACCCCTATCACCCTAAACCCTAAACCCTAAACCCTAGGGTTTAGGGTTTAGGGGTTCAGGGCCGTAGTTCAGGGTGGGCTTACGGACCATTCCTTGAAGTACTGTGGGTCCTTACATTACTTTTAGGGTTTATATAGGGTTGGGTTTAGGGTTTAGGATTTAGGGTTTATATAGGGTTGGGTTTCGGGTCATGACAGGGAATCTCACTTTGTGGGATGTGCCCTCTGTACCCCCCTCAGACTTCAGAAGGCAAGCAACAATAGATGAACAAGTTCTGGAGATGCCTGTGGAGGAGACCGTAAACCAACAAATCAAAAGCACGCAAAAAGCACCCAAGAGCCCCTAAGTGTCCGACTTTCTACCTAAACCCGAAGCCTGTGAGGGTCCTACGGACCCAATAACATGGTTTTTCTGGATTCAGGATTGTAGTTATGTAACCTAAACCCTAAACCCTAAATCCTGAACCCAATGTAGGCTAATATTTGGGAGAGTATATGAATATGATTACTAAGCACTCGGACCATCAGGGCACCCTACACCCTCAGCTTAGAGTTAAGCGGTTTAAGGTTTAGGCTTTATGGGGTTTAGGTTTTAGGGTTTAGGGTTTTAGGGTTTAGGGTTTAGTGTTTAGGGGTCCGGGGTTTCGGGTTTGGGGCTTTAAGGTTTAGGGTTTAGTCAACCCGACTGCCTATTATAAGTCTCATCGCACGCTCCGAAGTCTGCGGTGGCCATGTTGTGGCGTCGCGAGGAACGTGGGAGAGCCGCCCAGAGCAAACTGGGAGCAGGCACCTAAACCCGGCAGGACCTAAACCCTAAACCAGCAAAATCAAAATCGGGAGTAGGGCTTTTTGTAAGCCTGCAAGAAGGGGCTCTGATGTATGGGGACGGGAATATGGGTGCCAGAAAATTTCAGACCTCTCTATTGCATGTTCATCCAAGTGCTGTTGGCTTTGTTTGGCAAGCCTTGTACTGACTGCAGTAGTCCTCATCACACGTGCCCTAAACCAAAATGCAACCAGTAGCAAGCAGAGGGTAGCGACATCTATATGCTGTCGAGCCCAAAACGCTGCATGCGCGAGCCATGGACGTCTAAGGAATGTACCATTAACTCATGCACGGGGTCCTAGTATAATGAACCCTCAATCCTAAACCCTAAACCCTAAGCCTTAAACCCTAAACCGCACGCCGGCTGAAGTTTATCCTAAGGGGCTGAGTAACCCAGCCCCAAAAAAAGGTTTAGGGTTTATGGCTAACTGTTTAAACTATTAGTAGCATTACATAAGCCCCGAAAGGGTAAAGGCTGCCTACTCAGCCCCTAAGCTATTCCTCGCGAGTTTAGGGCAGTTTACACGGACCCTCCATCTACCCTCTAGTCGACCCGAAATCCCTTCATGCCTTTGTTTGGGGGGGCCATATACCCCTGTTTGAGGGTGCAAAGGGGCCCCGGTTGGGTAATATACGGGCCTTAATAACTAGAATGGGGTTCTGGGGCTCATTATACTATAGTTATACTAAGGAACCCCCCAAAAGGTATAGGTAATAATTTAGGCCCCTACAGTATATGAATTCGGAGCTTCAGGGTCCGTGCTTCAGGTTTTCTGGGGCAGGTGAATTGTGGGTGTTGAGCCCTTAAGGGTCCATGTGCCTAGTAATCATAGACTCTCCCAAATGTATGAGGGTTTAGGGTTTCGGGGCATGAGAATCAAATAGAATAGGGTTTGGGGGTCCTTGCCCTAAAGAATCTACCTTTCTCAGGGCTCCCTAACAGGATTTCCTTACATAAGCCTTTGAGAAGGTAGGTTATTCGTCGAATGTTCAGGGCTTGGTTGTTTTGAGCACCTTTTTTGGGTTTAGGGTTTTGGGCATTAAGGTGCTACTGCAGTTCTAGAACCCTCATCTTAACAGAACCTGCAGACGGAGCTCTATTCTCCTCATTGTGCACATATTCACTCTAGATCTACTTAAAGGACCATGGGACTTAGTAACTGGGGCTATAAATATGGTAACTATACTCACAATTACTTATAAACCCAATTAAGGTACGTATAACCTTACTTACTAAGTCCCGTGATCCTCTAAGTACTGGTTACCCCTAAACCCTAAACCCTAAAAGCCCATGACCCGAAGCTACCCGAAAAGCAACTGTTGTAGAACCGTTGAATTTACAGGAACTCTTTACCCAGAGGGTTCATAGTGGCTTTGGGGACCTATGTTCATAATTGTAGTATATATGGACCCTCTTGGTTATGGAAGCCCTATGTGAAGATAAATCTTTCCAGTTCTGACCCGAAACCATGACATTCTAAGCCCTGTTCCTAAACCCCCAATGCTGTTAGGGCAGCTTTTCCCCGCAATTCTCTGCAAGAAGCGGAAACTCTATCGCAGGAAGTTCAATGAGCAGCTATGCTCAGTCGAAGATGATGGAGTTAGGGTTTGCATTACTTACGTTTAGGGTTTAGAGCCTTGGGTTTAAAGTATAGGGCTTACGGCTTAGGGTGGAGGCTTGATGAACTTCCTGCCAGCAGTGCTGCACAAGTGCGAAGAGCCTCCTGACGATTTTTCTCGGGTTTAGGGTTTAGGGTTTAGCCCCCATGGGCTATGTTGAAACCACAGGAAGATTCTGGACCAAATCAGCCTTAAAGGTAGCGGCCCTGTACCGCTGTACTATGAATCCTATACGGTGTTTGAACCTCAACCCCTTTCAGGGTTCAAGGGAGCCCAAAACCTTTAATTTAAGGTTGGTGCCCAGACGCTTACAGGAACCTGCTTACTTCCCCCAGAAAGCCAAGGAAATAACAGGTTAAACTTTAAGATTACAAATAAATTATAAGAGCCCAAATAGTTTAAAGGTTGGGAACTTGGGGAACTAAGCCTGTAAAGGAACCCCATAACCAGCAATGCAGAAAAATCAACCAGAAGCCGGCCTCGCATCTGTGCTTTGCTGCGGAATGCGGACGATCGATGAGCGGCTCGGTTTACGAGCTGGTTAAGAAACCCTAAACCGCTTTAAAGGTACCATTGAAGTTTTGCTAAACTCTTCGGGTTCCTTTCTGGGGTCTATAGGGGTTTTAGAGTTTACTGTTCAGGGTTCAGGGGTTTAGGGTTGAAGGAGCCCTAAACCCTATAAACCCTAACAATACGGGTTCGAGGGTTGGGTTCCAGGGCCTAGAATGTCTATATAACCCTTAGAATCAAAACAGCCCAAAAGCCTAATATGATAGAGTCTTTGAGCGCAAAAGCCTTAAAATGTGAGTCTCTAGAGCGTAAGCTTAAGAGTTTCGGGTTTAGGGTCGAGGGTTTAGAGTTTAGGGCGTAGAGTATCGGGCTGAAACTTTCTTGCTTGTCCAGTATCCTAGGAACTCGAGGTTAATCTTTTGGATTATATAAGAGTTAGAGTGCCCCCCAAACCCTAAACCCTAAATCCTAAACCCTAAATCCCAAACCCTAAACCCTAAATCCCAAACCCTAAACCCCTAAAGCCTAAATCCCTAAACCCAAAGCCCTAAAGCCTAAAGCCTAAAGCCTAAAGCCTAAACCCCTAAACCCCTAAACCCCTAAACCCCTAGACCCTAAACCCTAAACCGAAGCAAGGTAGCTCAGATCACCGCGCCCGGCCCCAAACAGCGTAGGTGCCTGAGTCCTGGAACTGAAACGACACATCACGGCGGTCTCGGCTTGCCCTGGAATCCAAATGGGCGAGCTTTCTAGGGAGCCCTACAGAAGGGTTTAGGGTTTAGGATTTAGGGTCTAGGGCTTAGGGCTTAGGGTTTAGGGCTTAGGGTTGAGGGTTTAGGGTCTAGGGCTTAGGGTTCAGGGTTTGGGACTTAGGGTTTAGGACTTAGGGTTTAGGGTTTAGGGTCTAGGGTCTAGGGCTTAGGGTTTAGGGGTTTCGGGTTTAGGGGTTTAGGGTTTAGGGCTTAGGGTTTACTAGAAAGGTTCCTTTACGGCTCCTGAACTAGCTCCTCAAAAAGGGTCACTTCCTGTCAACCCTCGACGGAAAATTACCATGCAACAGGGTCCCCCTTTAAGGGTAGTATGCTTAGAGGATCATGGGACTTAGTAAGTAAGGTTATAAGTCCCTTAATTGGGGCTATAAGTAAATATAAGTACAGTTACCTTAATTATAACCCTACTGACTAAGTGCCATGATCCTTTAAGTAGGTTCTATAACACTTTCTATAATCGCGTTCAAAGGGATCCTTGGCGGGAGCTCCAACAGGTTTGCAAAAGTCCACAGTTAAAACTTAGGTACGTAATGATTAGAATAACGCCTTGGGGTATATTGGCGTATACATACATATATGGTATATATGGGTATAGTAAAGTCTGACTAGAACAGTTATTAAATCAAGGCATTGGGGTTTCTTAGGAATCACTCAGTCAGGATTCTATTATATTACACGTGCTGGAAGCCTTTGCATGCCAGGAGAAGCCATCGACCAACGGAAGCAATGCTATACCGACAACCTCCTGGATGGAGACACATAGGTCTCCCTTGCAGGCAAGAGCCTTCTCCGCCAGCTCTAGTAACCTAGCTACTCATCGTTTAGGCCCCAGTAATGATATAAACAATTTCTATCTTCATAGAATAAGACCTCTATATATTCTTATGTCCTATCTTATTCCTCTATATAAACAATATCCGATACGTAGGAAGACAAACCCCGAACCCTAAACCGGCCCTAAACCCCCCTAAACCTTGAACCCCAACACCTAAACCCTAAACCCTGACCCTTAGCATCAACATAGCCCAAAAAACCCTTCTATACTAGGGTCTTTGGTCCCAAAAGCCTTTAACTACGAGTCCTCTGAGGGTAAGGGTGAACTCTTAAAACCTAAACCCCTGACCCCTTAAAACCTGAACCCCAAATCCCCCGAGACCCCCCTAAATTCTGAACCGTAAAACCTAAACCCAAAACCCTGAACCCTTAAAACCTGAACCCCTGACCCTAAGGCCCAAACTCCGGAGTTGCTAACTCGGTGGGAGCACGCCTTCAACGATAGAACAAAATGTTGGAGTAGGGTTTATAAAGTTTAGGGTGCAGGGTTGCGGGATGTGTGAGGGTTTAGGGTTTAGGATTTTGGGGTATGTCGACATCATGATTTACCCTAAACACTAAACATTAAAACGGGTTGCAGCTTCGGGTCCCCCGCAAACTTATTTATGAATAGGTACCTCTATAGGAACCATTTGGGAAACCAACAAGTTTCCGAAAGTGGCCGCCTAGTTTATCTAAATCTGAATCTATAGGGGCTAGAAGGGAAGATGACTCAGTATGGAGGGTGTAGAACCTAGAGGCTCCATATATATATATATATATACATATATATATATGTATATATATATATATATATATATATATCACCATTGCGGAATTAAGTCTCAAGAGACCAAACTCATCATGGCTTCAGGGACCTAAACCCTAAACCCCAAACCCCTAGACCCTAAACCCCTTAAACCCTAAGAGCCCAAGCCCCTAAACTCCTAAACCCCTAAACCCTAAAGCCCTAAAGCCTAAAACCTAAAGCCTAAACCCTAAACCCCTAAACCCTAACAGCCACAAGTTGATGGTGTAGAACTCTATACTTCGACGATCATTCGGGGCTCCTCGGTGTGATCCGCTACGCCGGAACCGCCGAACACTTAGCTTGCATCAAAGGAAGGCTTTGGGTTTAGGGTTTAGGGGTTTAGGGATTTTTGGGGGTTTAGGATTTAGGGTTTAGGGGTTTAG